CCACGACCCCACAGACCTCATTTTTTGTGTTTCCAAAAAGGAGTGCGTGAGTGTGGCTGGTGATCGATTTTTTCCCTCGTCGAGCCGTAGTCGTTGGTGTCGAGGTGGAGGCGGCTGCAGCTGTCGAAAAATGCACCACTACGAATTAGGGAGAGAGAGGGGGGGGAGAGAGGGGGCGGGTGCACCCTCCCCTCGCGGCCTCGGCGGTGCAGCGCAGCGGCGGCGGCGGCTGCAGCCCTCATTGAAAATTCGAAGCGTTATCGGCACGAAAATCACTCACACACATGCACGCACGGCACGCACAGACGAGAGAAGGTACAAAATGGAAAATACGACACGCGCATTGATGACTATTCATGAGTCGCCGTGATTCCACGCCGGCCACGCGCGGGGGGGTATTGTTTTAATGTAATGTCATTCCGTTATTGAATTGAGACCTTTTTCTCTGTGCGGGTGCGTTCTGCAGGCGGACCATTTTGGTAATTATAAATGTAAAATCGATAGGCCATTGTGTGAGTCCTGCGCTCGCTCTCGGGGGAGGTCCCGGTCGACAAACTAGGAAACGGAACGGGTACATATGGCGTCTGAGGGGGAGGGAGAGGGGGGGGGGGCAGGCAGCCGTGTGGCGAAAGGAGGCGCAAGATTAACGCCCCACGTGTCGATTACATGCCGTGTCCTTTTCCGTTTTATTTCTTTTATTTTTTTTCTTTCTCTCTCCCTCCCTCTCCCTTCCTGTGTGTCCGGCCTGTCGTCTGCTCTGTCGATGCTACGTGAGCGGAGCAGAGCGGAGCAGAGCGGAGGGGAGGCAGCCCGCTCCAGGCTATTACGCCGGAACAGCTGATTTGTTGGCGTTTCACCCTCTCGCCCAGGGCAGTGCGTGCGTGCGTATTAGTGTGCGTGTGTATCTCTGTTGTACGACAAACTGACCTCCCGAGACACACACACTCTCATACACACACACGCCCCTTGCATTGGCTGCAACAACAGATTTGGCGCTTTGAAAACCGCAGGTATTTGTGCCTCGCGGTGCCTAGGCGGCCATCGCGGCCGTCTTTGGTCTTGAACGATCTTCTTGCTTTCGCTTATGCTTTGGCAGCACTGTCCTCCGCACAACATGTACCCTCCTGACCTGCCGCAACCAGGACTCGGTCCCTTCTTGGGGCCGGAAATCGCCGCCCGCCCCCTCTCCTCCTCCGTACCACCCCGATGTATCGCTGCTTGCGATCTCAAACGTGCACTTGGCCTGACTCTGTCCTTCTCGGCTGGACGGACGGGCGGGACAGACCGAGCAGTCAGTCATTCGTGATTCGGGCTCGGAGGGGTGGAGGGGGCCGTTTTGTTCTCAGGAAGCCCTGCATGACGTCACGATTGCTTTTTCTTATCGCAGTGATTTCCTTGCTGCGGCGTTCTCGGGGGATAATTATGACTGCGGTCGTCACTATTTGTCACGCCCGAGTTGATGTTGATTTTGGAAGATGGAGAGAGAAAGAACGAGAGATGGAGAGAGAGAGAGGGGGGGG